ATCACTATGCAGCTTTCTTCACCAATCCTCAGTGGTTGCAAGTATACATTTTCAACTGCATCAAATGGTCTAGGAATATGTAACACAGTTGCCACAGCAACAATATCAACAGATTCACATCGCCAATAGTCAAATAAGCATTAGCCTTAAGTAAAATGTTAGTCCTCTAAGTTTAGTGTTAGCATAGTTTGATCCTCTAACTTTCACTTTGTTCAATCAAGTCGTCTAACTCTCTTGATTGCACGATTTTGTTCCTCTACACCTTAATATTATCAATCAATTCCACTAACTTTCTCGATTCGCGCAATCAAGTGCTTTGTCTTCTTGTTGTAACTAATATTGGCAAATTAGCATTTCTTTTTCTTTTTTTCCAAGTTAGATTTTTGCTAATTATAGCATTGTGTGCCTCTTTTTGCCACATCAGTAATGCCACGTCATTAGTTAATTTGCACGTTCAGTGAGAGCAGTTAACTAAAGGTTGATTGCACAAATCGAGACAGTTAGGGGACTTGACTGGACAAAATAAAACTTAGAGGACCAAATCGCAAAAACATTGGCATTTAGAGGACTAAAGCTGTACTTGGCCCTAAGCATTATTATCAGGAATCTTGTCATGTTTACCAGGCCAAAACTTATTCTGAACCGACATTACATGTCTCAACATTGGAGTCTAGCTGATATATGTAGTTCCATCTTGCCACTACAAAATACTCATTCTTCTCCTCTTCTGGATTGTCTCTAGGATGTTTGCAGCTCATAAAGTCCACATGGCACAGTTTGACAGGTTGACATTAAGGATGGATCTTAAAATCGCGCCACAACTTGGCCAACATGTTAACACCGAAAGGTTCGCTTTGCAATAAAGTTCCGAGGCTTCGCACCATGATAAAGCTCATTCACCATGACAGCTATTCTAATCAAGCTTCCCCTAGATAAACACTGAGATTCACCAACAGCAAGGAAACTTATCTCTAAAACTAAAGGACAATAGCCTTCAAAATACACAGCAACGTGTCTGAATGCATAATGACGAGGCAAGAATTATGAAGTTATCGCTTCAATCGATAGCGAAGTTTTACACAACAAACACACAGCAGCCATTTCTAGCACAAGATGAACTGTTGTGAGAAGCATCATCCTTAGTACCTACGAATAGGTCAAACAACATAAAAGTCCAGAAGCAAATACTGGCAGTATAACTTACGTAATTTCTGAGCTCTTCTTGTAGATGTTTTACCAAAATTGTGGTGTCATTCGAACTTGATTCCTGAAAGGTGAGAGTGGACAACTTTTTCTCCGCCTCACTTTTCTGGTGCAAGCACTGGTGAGAACATAAGCCTTCAGCAGGGTAAAATTTCACAGTTCCATTTTAGAGAATAATGATCCTCAATCACATAGTCACAAAGGTTCTTGTGCAAAGATTAGATTTAAAAACTATGACAAGCCACTTCCAGATATTCTTACAAGAAAAAGAAGAAAGAAACAATGAATGAACGAATGAATGAAAAACTAGATAATAGAAATGCAAAAATAGAGGACGTATCTTGACATTAGTTGACCTGATCCATATGTGAATAGAATATTACAGAGAGAGAGAGAGAGAGATGTCTCTACCTCATTAAGTTGCATCCTAAGCTCTTCTAGCTGTTCTTTCAACAAGTTTGATTGTTTCTCTGCATTAACAGCTCTGCACTCCATTTTTTCAAGCTAAAGGCACAAGTTCTCAACAAAATTACAAAGATGTTTCTATACAATAGACCAAATCTAAATAAATAATTCAGATTCTCACGTCTGCACTTATTCTGGAAATAGAAAGCTTTGATTCCCTTTGCAGTTGCACAAGCTCATTGCGGAGACTCTTATTCCCCCTTTCGGTACCTTCAGCAAGAGAACTTAACTTTCCCTCTAAAAGACTTGCTTTTTCTTCAGCAGAAGCGGCTAAAGATTCGGTGTTCTTGCGAAGGTTTGTTTCTTTTTGCAGCTTCAACTGTATGACAAATACATCAAAACAAATTGAGATGATCATGAAGTAATACTTGTCAGCACCAGAAGTGTACTCTCCGGAGATAAGATGCCAACCAACTTGTACTCCAGTGAAATCAAAATGCCTGACGATTTCAAGTACTCAGACAGAGCATGGGCACCAATCCCTGCCACTTAACTAATGTGAATCTGTGCAGTTGTAGCTCTTTTCTTCTTCCAAAAATCAACAAGAACACAAAAAGAAAGCACAGTATTTTGGCCTGGGTCCCGAATCATAGCACTTAATCTTATATATCAAGTTCTTAGGGACTAGGAGTAAAACTATCAAGGAGAATTACCTGAACATAGATCTACAGCATCTTTTAGGTGTAACAGGGGAATGGTCATTCCATTCCCCGACATACTCTTATTTGACAAGAGGAGAATCTTAAACATGGGGCAAAACTCAGGCATCCAACACGTGTAAGAATGTGAAGCACCGTATTTTCATTTCCACTCAAGGAGTCTTGGACTTACGTTCCTTCACACTGACCTCTACTCAAATCAGCCAGACATACAGATTCACTGATGATGGCAAAATACCCACACAATCCTTCCAAGAAAAATTTTCACCAGGCTGCTCTTATTCCAATAAAAAGCAGCTTGAAGGAATAAGTATTAGTAAGGACAAATTTGGCCTCGACCAAACCAAATACCAGGCACTCGTGAACACTAAATGCTATAGCAGCAGTAGATAATCTGTTGCTTTGCTAAAACGTTCATGAAAGCGGCATCACGAAGAAACCATCACAAATCCCCATTGGTGAATGTTGCATCCCAAACAGCAGTTTACAAATACATATACAAAGAAAGACACTAGAGCAGGAGATTCGGCCAAAGAGCTGCCAGAATCAGTTTAATAAGACTTAGCACCAAACTAACAGTGAATGTTAAGACATGGGCATATTTAAGCCGTTCAAGTCCAACATAAGACAAGCCTTGAAGCAAATTGCGTAGTCAATTAATAAGAAGACATATCAAGCACATGACAAATGTAAAGAGATTCACCTCCATTTCACTGTGCAATTGAATCTGCTTTTTCAATCGTTCCTGGGAATCGCGGATTTCCTTAAAAAGTTGATCCTGCAATGCCTGCTCGCGTCCTCTGGCAGCTGCGAGTTCTTGTTCAGCATACAACAGCTGTTCCCTGAATTTCTTTCTCTCGGCATCTGTCAGAATTCAGGATAGATGATAACACAGCGTAAGACATATCATCCTCTTAAAGGGTACGTAATAATCACAATTTCAAGTAGCTGTAGAATCGGCGGATAGTTACAGCAATAACTCGAGCTAACTACGTGTGAGAATCCCAATGCATCGAAACGCTAGTATACAGGCGATCACCAGAGAAAAGGCCGGCATCAGTAGATTCAAAGCGCGCACTGATTGTATCATCTAACCGGGTGTCAAAGACCGTAGGGAAGTCTCCAAAATCAAAACTAAGTTTAAAAAGAGAATCTGGGGAAATTTGCTTCTTACGGGGAGGGGGGGATAAGTGGCGCATGGTGATGAAATCATGGTATGGAAAAAGACACAGGGATGAGGAAGAACGAACCAGCTTTAAGGAAGTCGTCGTTCAAAACCTGGAATTGGGAATGATAATCGCGGGCTTGCTTCTCCGCACTGCTCAAGGCGTCGAAGAACTCCGATTTAACCTGAGCAACAAAAGGAGAAGGGAGAACGAAGAGAGTGTGAGTCGCGAGAGTCGATGAGAGAGGAGGCGAGAGAAGAGAGGGGAAAGAGGGGAAGGAGGGGAAACCATTTGGCGACATTGATAGGTGCAGAGCAAGTGGTGGGAGGAGGAAGAGGGGTGATCGGGATCGGCGTCGCCATCGCCATCGGGGGGGTCCTCGTAGATGACGAGCTGGCGGTCGGACCCGACGGGAGGGCTGGCGTCGGCGGCTCTGCTTTCGAGCCTCGGCTTCTTCGACGGTGGAGGAGTCCGCAGGATCATCGTCTCTCTCTCTCTCTCTCTCTCTCGCTCGCTCTTCCGCTGCTAATTCACTGATGGATTGAGTTGAGACCCGTTTTGAAACCTCAAACCTAAGGCGCCATTGTCACTCCCCCACCCCCGCCTGATTCCTCTCTCCTTTTCTTCCCAACGCAATCCAAAAAATATGTCACAAAATGGTCCCTAAATTCTCTTCTTAATTTGCCCTCGTAAAGATTTCTTTTCTGGCCATTTGACCCTTTACGATTCAATCAAAACCAATCTGACGTTTTGCTCATTTAACCAAAAATCAAAAAGGCTTGTCATTTGCGGTTGAGCCTTATTTAAAAGAGGTTTCAAGAATGATTCAAAACATTAATTTATTAAGTGATGCAGTCAATTTTGTGTTCGATGTACATATATACCTCATTGAAGTTTTTCACATCGCCACCAAATTAATCCTACATACCGAATATCATAATAGTGATTTATCTCCCTCTTATTATATCCCGTGATTATCTTTGCATAAAAAAATATAAAACGTAAAACTTACGCTCGCTCTACGAAGCAAATACACTATTCATGCATATCTCAAAGCATCAAATTGGTCTAAAACCCATTTTCTTCTTTCTCCGTACACAATCGCATAGCGCTTAACTCTGTAGGTTGAGCTCGACCTTGCCAATTCTCAGCTCGCCAAGCTTGCAAGCCCGAACGAGCCTAATCAACTTTCGCTCCTTATCTAATAAAAAAAATATACATTTATTAGTTATAAAAAGATAGAGATACTTCAAAATAACATAATATATCCGTTATTATATTGAAGTCGAGTTTTTACGTAAATTGATTGGGATCGTGTCAAGCTCTGAGTTGGAGTTTCAATGCTAGGTGGGAGTTGCAGATGTCGATTACCCGAGTCGAGTAGTCGACTGGTGGGGGTGGTGTTGTTGAGCATAGGTGGGTGGTGTGTGGTGGGGGCCTTCAAATGAAGCTTTTTGGACTTATCGTGCCAGGGGGAGAGGCGGAGGAGGGGCAACGGTCCCTAACTTCGAAAAAAAAAAGGGGGAGGAGCGCCGGGCTCCTCTTTTGCCCAAATTAAAAAATATACAGAGCAGAGAGAGAAGAGAGAAGTGGGAGGGGGGAGGACGATGAAGATGATGAAGATGATGAAGGCGGTGAAGAAACTCAAGGTGTGGACCAAGAAGAAAAGGAACCAGTTGCAGCGCAGGACCAGCATGAGCACGAGCAAGACCAAGACCACTCTCATTATCAGCAGCAGCAGCCGCGATTGCTGCCCTCTCCTCCCCATGCATTCGGCTGGAATAGAAACCGAAATCGCAATCTCATCGTCGTCTGCATACTGGAGTCCAAGCACTGTGCCCTCTGCTCCCCCTCTTCCCCCGTGGCTCGTCCTCGAGCACGAGGACCCCGAGCACGAGCAACGCTTCAATTTCGCTTATCCATGCCCACCGCAGCCGTGCCACGAAGCCATTCCGGATCTTACGACGTGCCGCCCGAGCGGCGGAATGATGGGGTGTATGGTTCAGTTTGGGATTCACGTGTTTCGCTGCTTCTGCCCTTGTTTCCACGTTCGCGATCCTCCTCAACATCACCCCAAGCTTCACCCCAACTGAGTTTCGTCGATGGACGAGGGAAGGGGGGGCGGGCGTTGTTCATCTTTATCTTTTTATTTTATTTTATTTTTAGTTCGTCTGGCTTTATTTTTCCCGCTTATTTGTCATTGCGAACATATATATTGGCATATCAGACCGTTTCTTCCCTATTTATAAAATATTCCGGAATAATTTCAATCAAAGAAGGGGCCAAAAAAAAAAGCTTAAATTTTGATTCGAGCGTGAAAATAGGAGAAAATTGTAAGTAAAAGTAAGAATGGATATGTGACAGTGAAAAAGCAGGGCAATAGCTTTTAACTTCTATCGGGCCTGGGCTCATCGGAAGACGCGGTGGCTGTGCCTTCCTGCGCTGCACTAAGATTGGAAAGATCGGTGGGCACTTCACAGGAATGACGGCGACGGCGACGGCGACGGCCATGGCGGCGAACACGTCGTGGAACCTGCTGACGAGCCGGGGCGGCGGCGGCGGCGGCGGAGGAGGAGGGAGGACCGTGCTGATTACGGGAGTGAGCAAAGGCCTCGGCCAGGCCCTCGCCCTCGAGCTCGCCAAGCGCGGCCACTCCATCATCGGCTGCTCCCGCTCCCAAGACAAGCTCGACTCCCTCCGCTCCCTCCTCTCTCCCTCCGACGCCGCCGATTCCCCTCACCTTCTCCTCAACGTCGACGTCGTCCGTATTCGCTTCTCCTTTCCCCTAATTTTTCCCCGCTTCTTCCCCGTTCCCTGACTGACTAGGGTTTGGGCGTTCGGGATGCCATTTTCGACTCACCCGTCTTCCTTTTAGCAGAGATCGAACAGCAGCGTCGAGGAGCTCGCGCGCGCGGTCATGGACAAGAAGGGCGTTCCTGACATCATAGTCAACAATGCCGGGACCATCAACAAGAACAACAAGATTTGGGAGGTCCCGGTGGATGAGTTCGACGCCGTCATCGACACCAATGTCAAAGGCATCGCCAACATGCTGCGTCACTTTCTCCCTCCCATGATTCAGCGCAAGCATGGCATCGTCGTCAACATGTCTTCCGGCTGGGGCAGGTCCGGCGCTGCTCTGGTGCGTTTCTAGGACATGCTCCTTCTGTATTGCCATCCAATCGCATCCTCTTCTGACCACCTCCTCCATATGCATTCATTCATCTACCAGAACTCTGTGTCTTTTTTCAACAGATTCCAGCTCTTATGCATGTCGGCCTACAAAGAGAGAGTGCAAATTGCGATCGTGACTTGACCCTTGACATTGCTTTGATCTTTGTCTTGCAAGGTTGCCCCTTATTGTGCATCGAAATGGGCAGTTGAGGGCTTGACCAAATCTGTTGCAAAGGAATTGCCTGATGGGATGGCAGTTGTCGCGCTTAATCCCGGCGTGATAAACACTGATATGCTGACTTCCTGCTTTGGCAATTCAGCTTCCTTGTATCAGGCACCTGATGCATGGTATGTGCTTACTTGGGTCGTGCGAACAAAATTTTGTTTGGATTTGACTTTTTCATCTGTTGTCATATAAGAACTAGCTGTGGGTTCATTTCATCTCTACAAAAAAAAAAAAAAACATATAAGCTGATTATATGAAATACGAATATAGCAAATGCGGAAATGACTTTCCTTAGACTCATTTTTTTCTTTCTCTTTTCATGCGCATTTACTGCTGCTTTATGGAAACTCCATCGAGTAATTGTTGTAGTATTCTTACCATAGTGTCAACTCTTCCGATGAAATCGGATTGTCTTTTTGAGCATAGGACTCTGGTTGTCATCTTCTAATTGCCTATCTGTACAATGAAATAACATCACTATTGCTTTTTTGCAACAATAGTGTTTGTTCATGAATTGTGTAAGTGTTGGTCAAGAATCTTCTCATATCGCTCTAGCCTCTAGGTCCTCCTCGTCTGAGGATCAACATGGCTATCAAAGGTTCTTCAACCTTTTATTTGGCCGAAGGTTCTTCAATTTCACTTGACTGAAAGTAGCAGGCGGAGTTGCTTTCAGAAAGCTCAAGATCATTAATCTGTCCTGTTTAAGTCTTTCTTGAGAACTGATAATTTATTCGCTTAATATGTTAAGTTAACTTGATCGCGTTGGGGGAAGTTGTAACCTGGAGGAAGCAAGTGAATGTAGCAGAAGGTAGCAAACCTTATGATTTCATGTCCATGCTGCCTCCTTAGATTGTGACTTTTCTCTAGTTAATCATGAGCAAGCAGATCAAAGTGATTGAAAGGTTGGCATGTGGGTGTTTGTTTGTATTTTCTGCATCTCTTTATCTGCTTTACTTATCGAGGCAATAAGTCATTGGGTGTTTATGTATTTTAGGGCTGTGAAGGCTGCTGCTATGATACTGAATCTTACAGGGGCAGACAATGGTGCATCCCTTACTGTGTGAGGGAATTATTTACAATCGACAATTTTGCATCAACCTCGGAAGATGACAAGGTCAGTTGAATCCGCTGGTGCAGCCCGATAGACCTGCCAATCTTGAAACTAGTCATCGGTTTATCCTCACTCGTCGGACAATTTGCCAGTCGGTAGCGAGGCCATAATTCTCATTAGCTTGTAATTGTAAAAACAAGACTTATGTCACTCCTCTTTAATTTGGTTTGAGGGAGTACCTATGTGAGCATGAGAAATTTACTTGCCATTTTATACGGTTGTTAATTGTGAATGCACATAGAAGATTTGATAGGTAAATCCAGAAAGTGCCGAAAACTGTGCTTTTGATACCGCATCCTGTGAGATCCTAAGGTAGAAGGTATTGGATCATCTCCAGGTATTCTTCGGTTTCTCTTTGTTGTCACAAGTGAGTGAAGCTTTCCTGTGATTAGACCTATTAACCCAAATTTTTTGAAATGGGTCATATATGGGCCACCTTAAAATTGAGGCCTAGTCTTAAATTCTTAATGGGTTGTAAAATGAAAAGACCAAAATAAATGGGTCATTCTTTGAACCCATTTCTCACCCAATAAAAAACTCTATGGAGTCGCACGTAGGTGCATCTCCTTGGCCTCGTAAACTTTGCCGCCGTGGGGAGGCTGGCCTGGCTCCAGGTGACAGGAGTGGCTTGTCCGTCACCGCGGCCACTCTGATGATGCTCCACTCGGCTCTTCGAACGCAACAATCGCCTCACCACAATCTTGTGCGGCGGCAACAAATTTTCATCTTGTCATTCTTGTCCCCAAATCTAGCAAACTCACGATGCCTTCAACATGGGCACGTTTGCTAGCGCCAATTAGGGGAAAAGTATCAAAAAAGTATTAAATCTATCAAATTGATACAAATTTAGTCCTAAATATTTCAATTGGATCAATTTAATTTTAAACCTTTTTACATTGGTACCAATTTAGTCCATCTGGCCAATTTAGGCTAGAAATCATTGACGTGAGCGCCGGCCGCCCCACGTGGCACGACTAGTGCTGACGTTGACATTTTAAAATAATTTTTCGAAATTTTTTTATTAAGTTTTTCTTTTTTCTTCTCTTTTCTTTCTTTTTTCTTCTCTTTCCTTCCTCTTCCCTCCGCTAGACTCCACAATGACCGGTGGAGGCCACCGGCGGCCGGCTTGGCGAGGGCCAGCGAAAGTGGACAAGGTCGCCCCTCGCCAAATCCAGCAGGGAACCCTCGCCCAGCCCTCGCCAAAGGTCGGGACACCCTCACCGGCCTTTGGTAAGGGCGTGCATCGATCGTCGCCAAATCCGGCAAGGGGTGGCTTTGCCCAAATTGCGAGGGGCCTCGCCGGCCTTTGGCGATAACAAGGCTGGCCCTTGCCAAAGGCCGGCAAGGGCTGGGCGAAGGGTGCGCGAGGCCATCCCGGCCTTCGCCAACCTCCGGTGTGGGCTGGGCGAGGGGCCTTGTTGGCCTCTGGTGACGGCAAGGCCCTCAACGTCCTCTGGCGAGGGCTGGGTGAGGGGCCTCGTTGGCTTCTAGTGACGACGAGGACGTCCCGGCCATCGCCGACCTCTGGCAAGGGCTGGGCGAGGGTTGGCGAGGGATGGCCTTGTCTAGCCCTCGCCCTCGTCGGCCTCTGTCGGTCATCATGTAGATTGGCGAAAGGGAAGAAGAAGGAAAGAAAAAAAAAAGGAAAGAAGAAAAAATGAAAAGAAAGCAAAGAGATGAAAAAACTAAAAGAAAAAATTAATAAAAACTAATAAAAAATTCGAAAATTTATTTTAAAATATCCACGTCAGCATCACCGTGTCACGTAAGACGATCGGCGACCAATGTAAAAAGGTTTAGGACTAAATTGGTCCAATTAAAAGGCTTAAGACTTGATTGATATAAATGCAATAGATTTATGACTTTTTTTGTACTTTTCCCCACCAAATGGTGCTTCGCTAGTAACAAAAAAGTAACAAAAGAGAAGTTGGTGGAAATCTGGTTTGCCACCACCCCGAGAGAGACGAAGAAGGAGAGGCTGAGAACGGAGCTAGTCTCATGCTTGGGAAGGGCAACGAGTATACCAAAGCTATCCAGCAGGCCGAAGGCGGAGTTCCCGTGGCGACTAAGGTGGCGATCATGGAGCCGAGAAGAGGAAGTGGCGGGGGTTGGGACCTGGCCCATGAGGTTGTTGCCGCGATGTAGGTGATGGTGGTTGCCGGTGTTGGCGAAGTCGCTGGCAAAGAAGATGTCGTCCTTACTGAGGTCATCCTCAGAGGTGTTTCTAGTGGTCTGCTTTGCCCGTTGTTAATTAGGGGAAAATGATGAAAAGGGCGTGATTTTAGAATGGTCGAGAATGGAGGAGCTATCACCTATTAGGTTAAGTTTAGTAGTCCGGATTCGGATTGGGGTAAAATAGGATAAGGTTGAATTAGAAATCCTCCAAATATCCTCTAGATTGTAGAAAATCCCATCATATGTATAGCGCAATTCAAAATAGGATAAAAATATTTGAAAATCTCACTTGCTCAACACAATCTCCCACGGTATATATATATATATCACCACTTGGGCGCTCTCTCAAACCTGCTCTCTCTAGCTCCTTTTGGTCCATCTTCTTCACTAGATCCACTGCCATCTCCACCGCCAAACTGTAGGCCTCGCTCAACTTCACCATATCAGAGACGATTTGTACATAGGCATCGGCGAAGCCATTAGGGAGGTAGCGGTCGCAGCGATCTGGTAGACGAGGCAACAACGGCCCATGTAGAGGTGAAGGATGGCGACAGGGTGGTGGATGCCGCACGCAAAGGTCAGGTGCCACTTGACGTCAAATTCAATCTTGGGTGACAAGGGGCATAGAGGAGGTGGATGGAGATCCACTAGTGGTCAGCGCTTGGGCAACAAGTAACGAGGGTTGAAGACGGGATCCTTCGAGCGCACTTGTGAAAGATTCAAGTTCTACGATGGTATTGGCCATGGAACGTATAATTTCTCCATTTCACCCTTAGTCGTCGGAGCACGAGGGTCGGAGGCAATGACGGCACGGTGGTCGGAAGTGATGATGATTAGCTGCCCTCGCACCGTAACCGGCGAAGTTGAAAGAAAATTATTAAGTTATTTTTTCAAAAAGAAATTATCCGATCCAAGTTTATCCCACCCATAGCCTAGATTTTTTATCCAGATATATCCGATATAGAGGACGTCACCAAACATCGGATATGATATTTTGTTATCCTATCCGGGCTCAAATCCGGACTACCAAATGCAATCTTAAGGTTTTGGGTAGATTTGAATTGGATATGTGTTAGGTTGGGTATGAAATATCTAACTTGTCTAACAAATAAATAAGCCTATCTGAATTAAACGGGCGGATTTAGGTCAAAGCTATTTATGACCCACTTAAATCCAACCCAGCCCATCCATTTGTTACCTCAACTTGTGATAAAGCTCAAATAAAATGATTTTCATTCTTCTACGGTTATAATTAGGGCTTTCATGAGTGCTCTAGAATATTCTATCAATTGCATAGACGGTTGATAAAGATGTTAGATCTCCACCCTTAGATAATAAAGGCAAAGCTACTAGAGGATCTACGGTCCTAATTCAAATGGTACCTGTATAAGTGGGTGCCCTCTCATCATCCACAAATCCAACAAAGAAAAGCCACCTCGCTTCACAAAACACTGCTACTATTGAGGTGGAACATGATGCAAGGTATGATGATGAAGGACCAAGGACCAAGGACGGTGCTGATAACGGGAGTGACCCAAGGCCTCGGCAAGGCCCTTGCCCTCGAGCTCGCCAAGCGCGGCCACTCCGTCATCGGGTGCTCCCGCTCCCAAGACAAGCTCGACTCCCTCCGCTCCCTCCTCTCTCCCTCCGACGCCGACGCCGACGCCGACTCCCCTCACCTCCTCCTCACCGTCGACGTCGTTAGTATTTGTTTTTCTCCTTTACCTTAATTTTCCCTTTTCCCAGTCCCGGACCGAATAGGTTTGGGTATTCAGGATGCCATTTTCGACTCACCCTTCTTCCTTTTAGCAGAGATCAGACAGCAGCGTCGAGGAGCTCGCGCGGGTGGTCATGGACAAGAAGGGCGTTCCTGACATCATAGTCAACAATGCCGGGACCATCAACAAGAACAACAAGATTTGGGATGTCCCGGCGGATGAGTTCGACGCCGTCATTGACACCAATGTCAAAGGCGTCGCCAACATGCTGCGTCACTTTCTGCCTCCCATGATTCAGCGCAAGCGTGGCATCATCGTCAACATGTCTTCCAGCTGGGGCAGGTCCGGCGCTGCTCTGGTACGTTTCTTGGAGATGCTCCTTATGTGTTGCCATCCAATCGCATCCTCTTCTGACCACCTTCTCCTTAAACATCCATTCATCTACCAGAACTCTAGTGTGTGTATTTTTCAGACAAATCCCAGCTCTTATGCATATCGCCCTACAAAGAGAGAGGTTGGCAATTGGGTCGTAATCCTGTAAATTGCGATCGTGACTTTGACCCTTGATATTTGCTTTGATCTTTGTCCTGCAAGGTTGCCCCTTATTGTGCATCGAAATGGGCAGTTGAGGGCTTGACCAGATCGGTTGCCAAGGAGTTGCCCGAGGGAATGGCGGTAGTCGCGCTTAATCCCGGCGTGATAAACACTGATATGCTGGCTTCCTGCTTTGGCGATTCTGCTTCCCTGTATCAGGCACCTGATGCATGGTATGTGCTTACTCGTGTCGTGCGAACAAAATTACTTTTGGATTTGACTTTTCATCTTCTGTGGGTTCATTTCATCTCTGCAAAAGACAACAACTTTCCTCGCTCTTTTCTTTTTCTCTTTTCGTGGGCATTTACTGCTGCTTTATGGAAACCCCATCGACGAATCTTTGCGACTTTCTGACCTTAAGAGTCAACTCTTTCGATGAAATCGCATTGTCTTTTTGAGCATAGGGATCTGATTGTCCTCTTTTAATTGCCCTATCTGTTCAACGAGATAACATCACTTTCTTTTTGGCAACAATAGTGTTTGCTCACGAATTGTGTGCCAGTGTTGGTCGAGAATCTTCTCCGATCGCTCTAGCCTCTTGGTCCTCCTCTTCTGAGGATCAACGTGGCTATCAAAGGTCCTTAAATTTTTTCTTTTTCTGGCTGAAGGTTCTTCAATGTCACTCGACTGAAAGTAGCCGTGGGAGTTGCTTTGAGAAAGCTCAAGATCATTAATCTTTTCAACTCTTTCTTGAGAGAAGCAAGTGAATGTAGTGGAAGGTAGCAAAAACTTATGATTCGATGTCATGCTGCCTGCTTGATTTGTGACACTTCACTAGTTAATCATGAGCCAGCAAATCAAAGTAATTTAAGCATTAGCATGTAGATGTTTGTTCGTATTTTCTGCGTCTCTTCATCTGCTCTACTTATCGAGGTAACAAGGCATTTCGTTTTTTCGTGAATTTCAGGGCTGTCAAGGCCGCTGCTACTATACTGAATTTTACAGGGGCAGACAATGGCGCATCCCCTACCGTGAGGTAATGATCAGCAATTGACAACTTTGGAGACCTTACTCAGGATTCACCACTTTCAAGGATTATATTGGAGTCGATTTTAAATTCCCAATCTCAGTATCTCATTCAATGATGACAGTTGTCTAGAATGCCTACATGAAACTCAATCTTCAAAATATATGATTATACACAACACATTTGGTGAACAGCAGAAATTCCTCATTTAATTGATTAAAGTTCTTAATGGCCCAGATCTGCTCTTGCTAGTGCCAATGATATTATAGCAACCCAAGAGGCAAGATTAACATTACTTTCGTAAGGTAATGTGGGTGTGAAAATCCCATTTCAGAGCGCATCAGACAAGAAACAGTCCACGCCCAGTCCCTTCTATAGAGAGAGAGAGAGAGAGAGAGAGAGCGAAAAATCGTGGTCCAATGTTAACAACAAATGCTATAGATAAAGAGCCAACAAAAAAAATAAGGGAGAGAGAGAGAGAGAGATGATAAATAATCCAATGCCACATAGTACTACAAAAGTTGCCGGTGTGAACTGACCATCTCAGGAAAATGCAGCTCCTAGGCAAATAAACCATTACAAAAAAAATTAAACTGGAAAAGGAGAATGATACAACAAAAGTACAGACAGCAAAATTTGGTGAACAGGTAATAGCACCCCTGGAAATAATATAAATGCTAATGGATGGACAAACGGTAAATCAATGCCATATTTACCCACTTCTATCGATCTATATAACATCATGGGATCTCGAACAAATGCTTGAACATGTCATGCTAAAAATACCAGGTTAACCGGGATCTGTAATATGAGAATAAGCTCCAACTAGTATCTGTAAGCTGAACCAGACTGTGGTGGAGCAGGTGGCAACCGATTAGGCGTACGCCGGCCACTGGGATTGGACGTGGAGTTGGCATCACCATTTTGCACAGGATCACTATAACGCCTACTATGGCTTGCACCTAATCTCGAATCGGTAGGACCATTGGCTGCAGCATCAAATGCAGACCTCCAGTCATTGCCTGACACGGTTCCATTGGTTCTTGGGCTGCTTTCTGCGCGACAAGACTCCTTTTCAGTTATTCACCCAAAAACTGAGACTGGGTTGTTTGTGAGGAGATAATAATGCACAAAGCAAACCCCGCAAAACTTACGAGTTTGTTTTATTTCACATTGACAAAGTTGACATGCATGCCCCAATGAGCAGAGGTATTTATGAATCATTTAGTAAAACAAGATCCAAGCTGACGAACTAAAGGACCTGCTTACTAGCAGCAACATCCAACGAAGAGCTTCTAGATTTAGTTGGTCCAGACAGAATACATACAATCTCAATGAAAAGAACTCTATACTTGAATTTCTCCTAATAACTAATGTCAACCAAGTTAGATCCAATCCACTCCACAATATCAAGACAGGCAAAGTATTGTGGGCAGTAAACTGTGGACTTTGTTTGTATCATCTGAAGATGTTGGGTGTCAATAAGGATGGCATAGGTGTTAAAAACAAAATTAATGTCTCTGAAGACCATAGACCTGCTTGTTGAGAAAAAAAGTAGAAAATACATCCTTCATTTTTCATGGCGACATGCATGATAACTGCCTCATTCATTACTTGCACCCCAGAATATGTAAACGGTACCTGAACTGTTGCCATCATTGGCCCAGCTGGAGGCTGCAGATGCTCGATTGTCATGAATACTAAGTTGCCTTGTCAGTTTTGAGAGAAGAGAAGACTGTTTCTGGTACCGTTCCCGCTTGCGTTTTACATTCTGGTCTTCTTGAAGGAGCTCTTCAATTCTTGCCGTGCTTTGGGAACTGCAAAGTGAAGCATGATGGAACATTTAGGCTGCCAGTCTTCAGTGACGTATAATAAGCAAAGGATATTTTCTCTAGGGTCTTCCTGCTAAGCGCAACTGAGACTGCAAAATTCGCACTTGAGAGCAGTATGCCTTAGGCTCTCAGCAGTTACACCTGAAAATACTCTTGACTGTACTCAGAGGCAACCTAATGGTTTCTATCACATAAAATACTATTCTTAAATCAAAAGATCAGACCAGAATTTTGAACAATGGCATTTGATGTCATATATCACTAAACTACACCTCTAGACCTGCTTAAGCTCGTAGATGGGTTGTTAGTGGGAGTCATAATTTCGAGATGACTAAATTTTATGGGTCATATACTTTCATGCTCCTGCTAGTACTAAATTTTAAATCAAAGCCAGGTTCATATACTTTCATGCTCCTGCTAGTACTAAATTTTAAATGTGGTTTTTTTAATCTTTTTGCTAAATGCTTCTTATTAATCTGATTTCCCGTACCTCAGCTTCACATGCTGTTATTTTTTCAGTTTACATGTGTCAAAAGCGTTAATTCCACATTGCTATATTTTGAATTCACGTACACGGACCATCCTCCACCAAACGACTTAATATTTATGGGTCAGAATCATATAACGATCATGGCACAAGCCACTTGTGAGATGCTTTGTTAAATAACGGGAGGTATTTTTTTTTTTGGGTCAACCAGGATGGATGATGTTGACTTTATACATTCCTGAGTATGGTCCAATAAATCTCACGTATGATAAGCAAGTTGATTTTTATGTGGCCTCAGATTTGGTTCTTTAAGACGATATAAACACATCTGGACAGACTCTCACATGGCTAGAGAAAAAATGCTGCAGAAGGGGCTCAGTTTGTTAGATTTGCCAATCAACTTGTAAATATCTCCTAACCTTTGTAGTCGAGTTGACAATATCTACATCAAGATAGAATATTGTACATGCAAATTCTAGCTTGAAGGAGAGAAACAAATATTAGACTACAACTATGTCTACCAACATTAACCTGTTCAGGGGCTTGATAAAAAACACTGTAATTCCCACAAATAGTACAAGCATCAGAAGATCTTAGATAGTTGTGCTAGTAGAAATTATGCAATGAATCACAAGCACAATCTCCAAAAAAAAGCATAATTTCCATAAAGGATCAAAATAACCTGATTGAACTGTATAACTGATTAAGCATATCTTCCTTGGCCTTTTCAACTTGGCAAAGAACAACAGCCTGCTCAGCCACAAAAAATGGTTAAATTAATCCCAGACTAGCAATGAGTATGAAGTACAAGAGCAATGCTCATCAAGCCAAGAAGACTTACCTTTGGAACATTGGCAGCGAGGCTGTTAAGAACAGCCTCAACATAACCACGTACTTCTTGAGACATCCATCGGAGTTCTTCTTCTGGATCTGCAGGTCTTCTAGCCGCCATTGTATCCTAAAAAATAGAAAATTCAAGCAAAACTTTCAGATCTGCAGGTCCCCTATTATCGTGTGTTTGTCGCATCATACTCACCAGAGAACCATCTGAAAGGCTCTGTCGTACAGGAAGACTGGATTCGCCCTTTACTTGACCTCCCGTGGAAGGCTGAACAACATTTCTTATCTTGTTTAACCACTCAATTTTATCTGCCACGCTTTCGGCCTTCAAAACCACAGCACTGTGGGCTGCAACATTTATTTTCAGACACATTTCAGTAACCGACCATTGGCAGTGGAAAGTTATATATATAGACTAAATCAGCACCTTTTAAAACTGTCTTGTACGGAACCTTGCTAGTTAACCTGAAAACAAGACTCGGCCCTTTTTCAGGTCCATTTGCCTTTTTGTCCTTGGAACTTTTCTGTGGGGGTTCATCTTCATCAGAAATTTCTTCAATATTACATTCCTGAAAATTTCATTCAAGCAGTCAGATAAGAGTACCAAAAAAAAAAAAATCAACAGGAGAAGATAATGCATTTCTCCACAAAGATAAGACCAAAAGTACTGGGAGAAACATGTTTCCAACATGAGACTGCAAGATTTCAGTAATAGCTTGTACCATTGAGTTGATCAATAAGGAATTAACAAATCCTGAGATGAAGCATAGAGTATGCCATGGAACATAAATTTGGATTGACATTAGTTAAAAGGCACCTAATAAAGGAATAATAACAAGTAATTTACCCTCACAACAGAAATCAACTTAAGTTAAATGGCCCCCAGTCTCAGGCTTCCCACAATCACCAATGCTAAAACGTGTAATAATGGTATTGAAACAAATTGCAACCCAAAAAGTGGAACCCACAAAAGAAAAATTCTCAGATAATTAGATTCAAACCAAGAGCTTTGAGTGAAAAACTAGCAAACAAAGCAAAAGTGCATCACTCTGCTGCAGGACAAAAAGGAAAAATGAAATAAAAATGAAAAACCAAACTTTTCAAGAATAATGTCAAACAGAGTGCAAAGTCTGAAACGTCATCCAAGAGGTTGTAGTCTTCTTCTGGTGGAAGTGGGAATGAAAAATGCCGATGTGATATTACAAGAATACCTAGAAGAGCTTCTTTAGGATTTCGTATACCAATGACATGTCTTTCATCAATACGCAGGATCATCTAGCTGCTGCATTTCCATTTGCTAAATGTAGATGAAAGCAAAAAAAAAGAGCACACAACACGCCCTAAATATATCATGACAACTAATATAATGTAAGGGTTGAAAAAAAATGCAGCATAAGAAAACGAAAACACTGATGCATAAAATATGAAAAGAAACACTTGAGGATAGATAAACATGCTCATAGACACTGCTTACCTCCAAAGTGATGACACCACGGAAAAGTCTTTCCTCTTGCTTTTTGGTGTAGCCGAGCTGTAAAACATATAAAATCAGCACTTCCCTTATCCAAATATTGTTGATACTGCTGCAGAGAGAACAGTAGAGCAAAATTATCTGAAAATAATATTAACACTTGACTGCAACTACCATTTGTCTTCTCCATATCCGAACCTGGAAAAACTTGCTATAAACCCAGGTGCACAAGAAATAGATATGCATTATGCATGCAATTAAAATAGATTAATGGTAATTAAAAAAACAATCTGAACAAACCCCATCTACTTTGCACAGCTGACAAATTAACACCTTTTTGAACTACATCTCAATCATCATATATTTATCAGAAATCCAATATCCCTGCTAATGCATCCATTGACAAACTTAACAGATGCATACAAAATAACAGCAGTAATGTTGCTCCACAAATATCCAAGCCAAAGCCAATACTTCCAACGCAATACCATTATGTTTGAATTAAAACTGCTCTAGCACGATGGTAGACTGACTAAATTGGGGGAAGTATCACCTTTGTCAATGTTTAAAATGAAATACTTCAACAAAGTATGATAATAC